TGGAACAAAGGGTAACACTTGGAAAAATGAGTCACACTTAGAAAAATGGGTCACACTCGGAAAAAATGGTAAAACTTCGAAAAATAGGTCACACTTGCAAAATGGGTCACACTTGGAAAAATGGGTCACACTTAGAGAAATGGGTCACAATTGAAAAAATGGGTCACATTTGGAAAAATGGGTCACACTTAGAAAAGTGGGTCACCCCTGTAAAAATAAGTCACACTTCACAAAAAGGGAACACACTTGGAAAAATGTGTCACTTGTTAAAATAAGACATTAAGTTTAAAAGGGTCACATTTGAAAAAGTGGGTTACACTTGGAAAAATGAGTCTCACTTGAAAAAAAGGTCGCACTTGGAAAAATTGGTCACACTTGCAAAACCGGATCTCTCTTGAAAAAAGAGTCACACTTGGAACAAAGGGTAACACTTGGAAAAATGAGTCACACTTAGAAAAATGGGTCACACTCGGAAAAAATGGTAAAACTTCGAAAAATAGGTCACACGTGGAAAAATGGGTCACACTTAGAGAAATGGGTCACAATTGAAAAAATGGGTCACATTTGGAAAAGTGGGTCACCCCTGTAAAAATAAGTCACACTTCACACACCTGGAAAAATGTGTCACTTTTCGAAAAGTGATTCACACTTGGAAATATTGATTGCACTCGAAAAAATTGGTCAAACTTGAGGAAAAAAAGGCGTTCACATTTGCAAAAATGGGTTACACTTGGAAAATTTGGTCACACTTCGAGAAAAGGGAACCCACTTAGAAAAATGTGTCACACTCGGAAAAATTGCTCAAACTTGGAAAAAGGTTCACACTTGAAAAAATGGGTCACACTTAAAAAAGGTTTACACTTTGGAAAATGGGTCATACTTGGAAAAATGGGTCATTCTTAGATAAAAGGATCACACTTCTATAAATTGGTCACTTAGAGAAGTGGAACACACTAGGAAAAAAGGGTCACACTTGGAAAAATGGGTCACACTTGGAGAAATGGGTCACAATTGAAAAAATGGGTCACATTTGGAAAAATGGGTCACACTTAGAAAAGTGGGTCACCCCTGTAAAAATAAGTCACACTTCACAAAAAGGGAACACACTTGGAAAAATGTGTCACTTGTTAAAATAAGACATTAAGTTTAAAAGGGTCACATTTGAAAAAGTGGGTTACACTTGGAAAAATGAGTCTCACTTGAAAAAAAGGTCGCACTTGGAAAAATTGGTCACACTTGCAAAACCGGATCTCTCTTGAAAAAAGAGTCACACTTGGAACAAAGGGTAACACTTGGAAAAATGAGTCACACTTAGAAAAATGGGTCACACTCGGAAAAAATGGTAAAACTTCGAAAAATAGGTCACACTTGCAAAATGGGTCACACTTGGAAAAATGGGTCACACTTAGAGAAATGGGTCACAATTGAAAAAATGGGTCACATTTGGAAAAATGGGTCACACTTAGAAAAGTGGGTCACCCCTGTAAAAATAAGTCACACTTCACAAAAAGGGAACACACTTGGAAAAATGTGTCACTTGTTAAAATAAGACATTAAGTTTAAAAGGGTCACATTTGAAAAAGTGGGTTACACTTGGAAAAATGAGTCTCACTTGAAAAAAAGGTCGCACTTGGAAAAATTGGTCACACTTGCAAAACCGGATCTCTCTTGAAAAAAGAGTCACACTTGGAACAAAGGGTAACACTTGGAAAAATGAGTCACACTTAGAAAAATGGGTCACACTCGGAAAAAATGGTAAAACTTCGAAAAATAGGTCACACTTGCAAAATGGGTCACACTTGGAAAAATGGGTCACACTTAGAGAAATGGGTCACAATTGAAAAAATGGGTCACATTTGGAAAAATGGGTCACACTTAGAAAAGTGGGTCACCCCTGTAAAAATAAGTCACACTTCACAAAAAGGGAACACACTTGGAAAAATGTGTCACTTGTTAAAATAAGACATTAAGTTTAAAAGGGTCACATTTGAAAAAGTGGGTTACACTTGGAAAAATGAGTCTCACTTGAAAAAAAGGTCGCACTTGGAAAAATTGGTCACACTTGCAAAACCGGATCTCTCTTGAAAAAAGAGTCACACTTGGAACAAAGGGTAACACTTGGAAAAATGAGTCACACTTAGAAAAATGGGTCACACTCGGAAAAAATGGTAAAACTTCGAAAAATAGGTCACACTTGCAAAATGGGTCACACTTGGAAAAATGGGTCACACTTAGAGAAATGGGTCACAATTGAAAAAATGGGTCACATTTGGAAAAATGGGTCACACTTAGAAAAGTGGGTCACCCCTGTAAAAATAAGTCACACTTCACAAAAAGGGAACACACTTGGAAAAATGTGTCACTTGTTAAAATAAGACATTAAGTTTAAAAGGGTCACATTTGAAAAAGTGGGTTACACTTGGAAAAATGAGTCTCACTTGAAAAAAAGGTCGCACTTGGAAAAATTGGTCACACTTGCAAAACCGGATCTCTCTTGAAAAAAGAGTCACACTTGGAACAAAGGGTAACACTTGGAAAAATGAGTCACACTTAGAAAAATGGGTCACACTCGGAAAAAATGGTAAAACTTCGAAAAATAGGTCACACTTGCAAAATGGGTCACACTTGGAAAAATGGGTCACACTTAGAGAAATGGGTCACAATTGAAAAAATGGGTCACATTTGGAAAAATGGGTCACACTTAGAAAAGTGGGTCACCCCTGTAAAAATAAGTCACACTTCACAAAAAGGGAACACACTTGGAAAAATGTGTCACTTGTTAAAATAAGACATTAAGTTTAAAAGGGTCACATTTGAAAAAGTGGGTTACACTTGGAAAAATGAGTCTCACTTGAAAAAAAGGTCGCACTTGGAAAAATTGGTCACACTTGCAAAACCGGATCTCTCTTGAAAAAAGAGTCACACTTGGAACAAAGGGTAACACTTGGAAAAATGAGTCACACTTAGAAAAATGGGTCACACTCGGAAAAAATGGTAAAACTTCGAAAAATAGGTCACACTTGCAAAATGGGTCACACTTGGAAAAATGGGTCACACTTAGAGAAATGGGTCACAATTGAAAAAATGGGTCACATTTGGAAAAATGGGTCACACTTAGAAAAGTGGGTCACCCCTGTAAAAATAAGTCACACTTCACAAAAAGGGAACACACTTGGAAAAATGTGTCACTTGTTAAAATAAGACATTAAGTTTAAAAGGGTCACATTTGAAAAAGTGGGTTACACTTGGAAAAATGAGTCTCACTTGAAAAAAAGGTCGCACTTGGAAAAATTGGTCACACTTGCAAAACCGGATCTCTCTTGAAAAAAGAGTCACACTTGGAACAAAGGGTAACACTTGGAAAAATGAGTCACACTTAGAAAAATGGGTCACACTCGGAAAAAATGGTAAAACTTCGAAAAATAGGTCACACTTGCAAAATGGGTCACACTTGGAAAAATGGGTCACACTTAGAGAAATGGGTCACAATTGAAAAAATGGGTCACATTTGGAAAAATGGGTCACACTTAGAAAAGTGGGTCACCCCTGTAAAAATAAGTCACACTTCACAAAAAGGGAACACACTTGGAAAAATGTGTCACTTGTTAAAATAAGACATTAAGTTTAAAAGGGTCACATTTGAAAAAGTGGGTTACACTTGGAAAAATGAGTCTCACTTGAAAAAAAGGTCGCACTTGGAAAAATTGGTCACACTTGCAAAACCGGATCTCTCTTGAAAAAAGAGTCACACTTGGAACAAAGGGTAACACTTGGAAAAATGAGTCACACTTAGAAAAATGGGTCACACTCGGAAAAAATGGTAAAACTTCGAAAAATAGGTCACACGTGGAAAAATGGGTCACACTTAGAGAAATGGGTCACAATTGAAAAAATGGGTCACATTTGGAAAAGTGGGTCACCCCTGTAAAAATAAGTCACACTTCACACACCTGGAAAAATGTGTCACTTTTCGAAAAGTGATTCACACTTGGAAATATTGATTGCACTCGAAAAAATTGGTCAAACTTGAGGAAAAAAAGGCGTTCACATTTGCAAAAATGGGTTACACTTGGAAAATTTGGTCACACTTCGAGAAAAGGGAACCCACTTAGAAAAATGTGTCACACTCGGAAAAATTGCTCAAACTTGGAAAAAGGTTCACACTTGAAAAAATGGGTCACACTTAAAAAAGGTTTACACTTTGGAAAATGGGTCATACTTGGAAAAATGGGTCATTCTTAGATAAAAGGATCACACTTCTATAAATTGGTCACTTAGAGAAGTGGAACACACTAGGAAAAAAGGGTCACACTTGGAAAAATGGGTCACACTTGAAAAAAAGGGTCACACTTGGAAAAATGGGTCACACTTGGAAAGGGTCACACTTGTAAGAATGGGACACACGTGGAAAAAAAGGGCACACTACGAAAAATAAATCACAATTTAAAAAAATAGGTCACATTTGGAAAAATTGCACTCTGAAAACACATGGAATATTTCCGTCCACATTGCGCCGGAGGAATTTAAAACGTAACAATCACCGGTCACTTTGGATTTGTGTTTGAGGAAAACTCGGGCATTGAAATCACATGATTATCGTGACGTCATCGTTTTCGAAAAGCTGCGTTTTCAGAATGATTTCCGTCCACACGAAAACGAAAAGCCGGCGTTTTCAATTCCTCCGGTTTGAAAACTGTTTTGGCAAAGCTCCGTTTCGCGACAGATTAGAGAAGACGGTAGGCCTAACCGTACAAATAAAGCTCCATTTCCAAATCTCTCTGGCGTGATATGGACGCTGACTTACTAACTGCGGCGTCCGGGGTAGTCTTAATGCTTTTGAGTCACGTGTGTAGCCAGGAGTGATAGGGATGATGATGATAACGGCGGTGATAGTAGTGGTGATGGTGATAGTAGATGATCGTAAGCATGATAAAACGGTTGAAAACACTGTAGGAAGGGCCAACCAAGATAGGTACACACACAAGGGAAAACACAGCAGATATAGAATTTGTATTTAATTGTTCGTAAATTTACTGTTTTGCTTTTTACCTTTTTATTTATATCCACTTCCACTCTTTGACCAACTTTTATGAATAAGAAAACTTAACAGTTCTTCAATGAATTCCTTCCACCAATGAACTTCCTTTTCCTTGCTCTGTGGGGAATTTACCATCCCCACCCCATCCCCACGCCCATCCCCACCCCCAACCCTTCTCTCTGTCAGGATATTCATAAATTTTCTTCCAGAATCAATTGTCCGTAAATAGTTCATTCTTCGTAATTATCCCTTTTGGGAGCACAAAGCAAAACGTATCGGCAGAACTGTTTATTAAGTTTCTTCTTGTTTTTCTCGTCTCGTCCTTACATCCTACTTCTAATTCTTGAACATATTAGTGACGCTAGCTATGATGAAAACGTCTAAAACTTTTCACTGAACTGACTTTCTATCAAAACAACGTGAAGTTAAAATATTCATTTGTTCTTACTATTACAAAGGAAAGCGTTCTCGTGATTTGCACTTAAAGAACGTCTTAAGTTTCCTGCAAATCAACCTTTCACAATCTCGGAAAGATGACTGAAGACCAAAACCAGTGTTTGGAGACGAAAGCCGTGAGCTTCCACTTGCTACTATGCCCTGCGAGTTACACAGCACATCGCAGCTTCGTATGAACATTCGTCTATACGTCTTTACGGATGGCAGGCGTCTTCAGTAACGCCTCACCGACAAAAATACTGTCCTTGTAGATAAAATAACATGAAAAGAAATATATGAAGGTGTCGTAAACTTACCTTTAACTTTGACATAACTTATTTGATAAGTCTTTAAACTAAATTTGCCTAGATATTATCGTATCAAGTTCATTTTCATTATTGCCATTTGCATAGCACGTGGTAACTGGAAGTTAATCTCAAAACTATATACAAATTATATACACTGTAAAAATAATTTTGTTGCGTAAACCAGCGCACATCCTTTTAGCCGAAACTTATAAGGACAGAAACAAACAAACAAAGAAGGCTCGTCCTGAAAGAAATCTGGATGATTAAAAGGAATGAATGGAGGGAAGAAAGAGGGACACTAAGTACAGTGGTTTCACGAGCCGATGGACGCGGAGGCAAAGCCTCAACACGTAACGTAACGTAACGCTGTCAAGGCAACTCTGTTCATTTGACTCAAATCAAATTGTTGTCTCCACCTTGTATGATCTTAGATGAGCAATGGCATTGAAGACTGTTAGTGATATAAACATAAACTATTTAGCTCCTTTCCGTCTTTTCTTAAAATCCACTCTTTCACTAGATATGAAACAAAACCACTGGCCACCTGCATCAGTCTTCGTGAAAAGGAAATAAAACGCATTGATAACTTTCCTTCCATCTTTGTTACGATAAACCCTCGAAATCCCCCCCGAGTCCAGCATCCGCTTCAAGCATATTCATGAATACCGACATTGTCTCCTCGCTTTGCTCCATGGGAGTTTCCATAGACTCGATTGCATTCTGCATTCCAATCAACTGCTCCAACAGATGCGCCTGCGATAATTGCTGCTGACTATCCACACCAGCACCCCCCGCACGAGAGCCCAGTCCCCTCGCCGTCGCGGTTCTCGAGCCACTGGGCGTGTTGGGTGAAATATCATCTATATTTATCGTAGTTACACCTCCACCCGAAATATCCATGTTTAATGAGAGGTCCTCATTTGATCTGTTAGTCGTATTGGTTTTCATTCCGAACTGGGCTTGCCTAAAAATTACAGAAACAAAAGCAAGTGGAAAAAAAGACAAAGAAAAATAGCATGTATTACTGTAAAAGCCCGAGTGATTAACCATCTTTTTAATAAAAGAACCTTTTTTGTAAGAACATTGAGACTAAGATTAACCAACATTATCCTAGGCTGTGAGTTAGTCAAGAACGTTTTTATCTTACTCATTTTTTTCCTTTAATGAGTAGTATAAATAAAGGTAATGAGCCTCCGTGTTCGATGCTTTTTGTAAAGCCAAATTTAGCAATAGTTGGTTGGCGCGACATGTGGACAAATCTTGTTCGTGGCATAAGAGCACGTCCCACAAGCATGTGACAAGCAACTCGATACCACACCACAGCAAACAACGAACTTTGATAAGTTTCCTAGTCACGTCCGCTTTGATTTATTGCAATATTATACCGTGTAACTTTCAGAATATCTTTAAAGTGCCTATGAAGTAACAAATAATTACTGCTTATTTCAAAGGCTTTTCAAAATAAAGAAGAATGGCGTTTTCCTCTTTGGAACATCTCCTTTCGTTTAAGAGATGTTTACGTTTTTGTATTATGCAAATGAGGAAAGTGATGACATCATTAGTAGTTCCACGAAAACAGTAAAACACTGAATCAAGAATATCTCGAGAAATATTAGAGCTGTGTTCTTTGAAGAACGTTCAGCCTCCACTCAAACGTTAGACGTTCTTATAAAAACAAGAGTGTATTATATTGCGAAAATACTGGTCTACGTCCTTTTTTGCAAGTTGATGGTGGAGCCAAAGGCGGTATCAATAAACGTCCCAAAAAATAAAAAGTAGCCAATACTTCTCAATACAGAGAGAACAAATGTCTCCGTCAGGCCAGTGGCCCATCAGGCTGGAGCTTATCCTAGTTTCTGTCCCACGAAGTGGCTAGGAGTACTTCTTCTACCCCCTGGATGGGATGCTAGTCCATGTAGGGTCACCCCCAGCATTCAATTCGCCGGTACTCATTTAAACACGCGGGTGGAGATAGGCACTGTGAGAGTAAGAACAACACAATGTCCCCGGCCAGGGCTCGAGTCCGGACCGCTCGATCCAGAGATCAGCGCGCTAACCATGAGGCCACCGCGTCCCCCACACCAAACGAAAAAGCTAGTTCATTAAAGTATTTACTATGGCTCTATTAAAACTCGGCGACAAATTAACAGTTAAAGGAGGAAGGCATCCCCCGTACAAGGCAGGGGTGGTGTCCTATTATGGAAGGCGACCCTTGCAGCAGCCTTCTGCACCCTAACAGAAGCTTACCCCTTACAAAAAGCAGGTATCCCCTCACATGAGGGGACAGCTTACACCGTGCCGGTGACCCTTTATAGAAAGTAAATCCCATACAGGTGCCTCCTCAGATATAAACAGGTCCAGGTGAGTCGAATGACAATAATGATACAGTATAGGTAATCGTATGAATGCGAGTGCAATTACGGATTCACACTACCAGTGATATAATTTTCTCACAATTGCACGAATTTTCAAGTATCACGAGTAGCGTAAATCCTAATTGTTCCAGCCTTCATACGATTACTCATTTATCATATGACTGAGAAAATCACGAACGCGCGCGCGTTAATTTGCACTGCAGTGCAAAAAAAAACAAAACGATAAATTGGCCTGCTCTCAGTCAATCACAATGAAGTAATTTTCTCAGTCATATGACATGTGACATACTTGTCTTGTGTCTGTTGGTTTTGAACCTCCTCCGCCACCATGGCCCCAATACGACTTGCTCCTACGTTTGTCCTTGCACCGTCCAAGTCAGATATTTTATTAACGGAAGACTTTGATCCTGGATTGAGTCAAATAAAAGCATTTACTCTA